TTAACTTTCCGTGCTCATCTTTCCTCGTGCTCAACTTTCACCAATCCGAATTTCCTTTATATTCTCACACATACTACTTACCTTGATAAGCAAAGGTAATTTTATCTTCTTAATAAACATCATATGAGAAAAACGAGCAACATATTCATATTCCATCAGTATGAAAGAAAAAATGTAACATATAATGTTTTGAAGTGATTTGTGCATTCATTTTTATGTGCGTTTATTTGAATTAACGAAATTGAACAAGTATAAACTGAAAATAAAAATTACTAAAATATAAAAGCGATTATTTAATTAATAAGAACATGGTTAATTAAAGTATTTTAAGTTGATATTTGTTATGATTTTGAAGCCAATCAATATCACATTTTGGAAATAAAATCTTGATGTAACCAACGAATAGTTTCATTTTTTACTTAAACACAGGGTATGGGTGTAAATCTAACACTATTTTTTGACCAAGTCACACACCCACACCCACATCCATCCACACAGACGCAATAATCTTAGTTACTGTCTGTGAAAGAACCATTCAATACTTCTGAGAAAAAGTAGTTCACTAGTAAAAAAAAAGATATATAATTTCTAGGATTTTTTAAATAGTAACTCACTACAGTCGGTTTTCACCATTTTTATACTTGTACAAGGTGTCGTTTCGACATGTAGCGCGCAACACCATCGGAACTTGGATAAACTTCCTACTAGGCGTCTAGAACACAAAGGAATTGGTGCATATCATCTAAAGAACTTACCTATAGAAAAATATGGTGAACGAAGACTATCCGAAGATATGTGCATTCACTTGATAATTCAATATTAATATTATGTCAGTCATCGTGTGGCAATGCATAAAGACGTTTTTGTAGAGTGCACATCGTATTGTCGAATAGATCTCAACAAAATCTATCGACAGGTGCTTAAACTAGCTCAAAAAGATTGATCGGGGCCTCATATTAACAGAAAAAAGCAAAATATTAGAAAAAAATAGTAAAGTGTATTTCAAGAGTGTAGGTATGGGGTGTGTGGGTGAGTGTGGGTGTGGGTGTGGGTGAAGGTGTGAGTGTGGGTGTGGATGTGGGTGTGGGTGTGGGTGTGGGTGTGGGTGTGGGTGTGGGTGTTGTTCTCCCGTTTACCCAAACCCATTCCATCACGCACACCCACACCCACTCACGCATCCCATACCCATACTCATACTCACACCCACACCCACCCACGCTTCCCACACCCACACTCACACTCATACCCACGCGCGTATCAATATTACCTTGAGTTGAAATAACCTTAGCAGATGAAAAATCTATCTCAAATACAATTAGATTTAATTTCAAATATTGCTTGAATAGTATTAATTGATCAAACTTAGATGGACTGATTTGTCTAAGACAGCATAGAGAGTTTTGACTAGGGGTGGGAAGTTACCGTTACCCGGGAGTTACGTTACCGGGTAACTAGTAACTTTTGAGTTACTAGTTACCGAGTAACTAGTAACGCCGGAGTTACCAGTTACCCGGTAACTAGTAACTTCGAAGTTACTAGTTACTTTTGGTAGGTAACTTGTCTAAAAAGTCGAGATATCGCTTCCTAATGACTGAATATCATCTATTCATCACTCAATTAAATTACGAGTTACTTGGTAACTAGTAACTCCTATGTGCGTTACTAGTTACTCGGTAACTCGTGAGCTGAATAAGTACTGTAATGATGGTATTCACTCATTAGGAAGCGATATCTCCACTTTTTAGACAAGTTACCTACCAAAAGTAACTAGTAACTCCGAAGTTACTAGTTACCTGGTAACTGGTAACTCCGACGTTACTAGTTACTCGGTAACTAGTAACTTGCGAGTTACTAGTTACTTGATAACGTAACGGTAACTTCCCACCCCTAGTTTTGACATTCCGTAATCTTGTGCCCACAAAAGAAACTAGATCTTGATGAAGCAACATCAAAGTAGTTATTCGGTTGCAAGGTACTTTTTTTTATCCTCTTTTCGGACCGAAAAAACTTCATGGATTGTGACCAGATCCTTTATTCTAATAAATCATGGTTTATTTAACGTAATAGTGCACGGTTCAATGTGAGCACAATGCCCACTCAGGCACATCGTTTGAACACAAAACGGTCCTTTGCTTATCATGCACGTTCTGCACAAACGGTTCGTTTTGCACGAGTCAGGTTGGATGCATTCTTCGCCTAATTGAAGAGAACACGGCTCAATTTGTGCACAATATCCGTTGACACACAAAGGCATTGTACATGCCGGTGCCTTTCCTTTAACGCATTCGGCACAGATTCTCTTCGAAACTTGGCACTGAGAATCTTTGGTGCAGGAAGTCGAGCTTACGTTCAAAATCAAACTGCTTGAGAGCAGGAGAAGAGAAAGAAGAGCTGGAAGCCAAATATGCATTGCTGTTGTTTGTTATGAAGATTATGTCGATTCAATCGTCTTTATATCTACCTAATCACTCTACGATTATGCGTCTTTTCTCTCTCTCTCTTGTATTTTATATAATATCCAAAGACGTGAAGCTGATTCTTATCTCTCGATCAAATATTTTGTCCAATAGTGAAAACAGGTGTGGGAGAACGAACAGAATGGAGTGGTTATTATGATGGATCAGAAACCAATTGATATAACACAGAGAGAAGAGAAACGCATGGGAAAAAGCCAATATTGAAAGCAACGTCAAGATAAAATGAGCGTTATCGATTTAATCAAGCCATTTGTGTGTTATTATCGCCCATCATCCACGTACAGTGAATGATGAATAAACACAACGATTATATATCAACATGTGCGCATTTTCTGTATTCAATGGGCCACGGTTTTTCGCTGCTCGTGGGCATCGACTTAGATCGTTGTTGTTTTTTGGAATATTTCAGGAATATTTCTTTCATTTCGAAAACATTCAATTCTTTTCCAACTCGTTTTCTGATTTATTTCGTACTATTAAAAGCATAGTTCTTGACTTATACTTTACGATCATATCATTCTTTTGATAGCCTCGATAACGCATATTGGGTGATAAATGAGAAGCTCTTGTACTTATCTTGGAGTTTCGCTCATGACTAATGGGACAAACGAATTAAAAACATTCCTAGGCATTGCAGCAAATTTTGTGAAGGATATTGATGGACATGCAAAGCGTTGATGAAACCTACGATGAATTCATTGCGTGGAAAAGAGCGCATCACTATGGTTCTTTTGCAATAAAAAGAAGTCCGCGTTTCTTTCTTCTCACTCTCAGTGTTTGTGTTTATTCATCACCACTACCTTTTTCTTCACTTATTTACGGTTGAGTACAAAGATATGTTCCAGTTCGACCCTTCCCCCAAATCTTGCAGCATTCATTAAATGTTTTGCGAAAGAAAAACTTCATCATATTGGTCTTGCCTTTATTCAACAATCACAATATCTGATTCACAAACAGCAACAGCACCATTCATCACACACGCCGCAACATTCACCTCATGGTTCTCCTCTTCGTCCACCACAAGAAATTAATTATTGAGGGTGTGGGTGGGTGGGTGTGAGGTGTGGCTGTCGGTGTCTTGGCATGCACCGAACCCGGGAACAGACCCGGTATTTCAGGGTTCGGTCATTTCCGAGTTCGGCAGTTCCCGGGGTTCGGTATTCCCGGGAACGGCCGAACCCCGGGAAGTTCGGGTTCGGTGCATGCCTATCGGTGTCCGTGTCGACTTGAGTCTTCTCTTTACCCATCCACACTCACACCCACTCTTATTTGTTGAGCAAGATACTTATTCTGTTACGATTTGTATTCTTTATGGTATAAAACAAATTTACATACATGTAATATGTATAAAATATATTTTTGCCTGATTTGTATGCATGGAAACATCTACAGTTGACATTGATTTTTCATTATGAAAAAAAAAAGATTTTTGTAGTTTATGAAATTTCGATGTTAGCTATAAAACTTGGCTTCATTGGTTTTTTCAATTTTTTATTATTTATACCACTAATATAAAAATATAAGAAGTAACATCAAGCACTTAGTAATAGCAAAAAAGATTTGAAAAAAGGAAATATTTTAGTCAGAAAATGAAAATGCAAATGGAAAATTATCTCCTACAAAACGATCATCAATAGATAAGAAATGAATGATTTCATTTGCTCTGAGTTTTAAAGATTTTCAGCAAAAATTTATGCTATATTGTTAAAAAAGAAATCAAACTACTTAATATTTTTTTTTCGATTTACTAGCAATCTTTATTATAATGTCTCTAATTAAATCAATTGTACTTAGTTTTCAACTAGAGTAACTGTGACAGATCTAATTATGTTTGACTTTGTGTTAACTATATTTAGAACATATTTGACATTTCACATGAACGTTTTTTGTCATATATCAAGTTCTTCTTGGTTTTTGTTACTAGACTTTAATAATAAGCTTTGCAGTAATATATATCTATGAAGTATTATTTATATTAAAACAAACATGAGAAAAAAAAATTGATTTTTATTCGTTTTGACGAGAAAAATAGAAATATTATTAGGTAAATATATGACTATCGAAGAACTTTTTTGGATAATCATTTTTTTTGTCAACAATTATCGATTTAGCTAGATGCTCAAACAGACAAGAAAATATGAAGACGCGCTGAAATGTCCTAATCATAGTTTTTGTTTCAGTGTTTGGACGTCCATTTAGAGAAAACCAGAACCAGCTACTTTCATCATCAAATATATATGAAGATTAGAGAGCTTTGGATTCACGAAACTTGAACCTGGACTTAAAAAAAACTAAACTTATGGATCCGGATTCGATCTGAACCTTATAGATGCAGACACGAATTTTTTTTTCGTCAATATCTGCTTTCATTTGTATATATGACAAGTGAAGGATCAAGGTCTCATCTATTTCTTGGTTATCCTGAGAAAAAATGTCAGAGTACAATTATCTCTTGTGTTTCTTTCTAATCATTCAACGCTCAATAAACTAAAAGTCTTGGATTAGCTGAAAAGAACATCATGTTAACAAAAACAGAAATGAAGCAGTTAATTGATAGAAAAGATTCACCGTTGAAACTCGTCAAAGTAACAATAGCACTAAAATCTTCAGAGTTGTATGGAATTGTTTTCGTTGTATTTATGTAAGTGAGATCAAGCAAAAATATGATCTTTTCAATAAGTGTAAAGATCTACTTATGTATAAATCGTCATCTAGTATAATAGAAGAAAAGAGGTATCATACGTTGACTTCAACGCTTCTATATATAAAGTGTAAGCTGTATGCAAACTGATCTTGTAGTTTAATCTTGATATGAAATTAGATCTGACAATAAATTAAATTTTGGACCCGGACTCGAGCCGATGACAGCGAGGTTCAGAAGAACCCGCAGTTCTCCAATGAAGAAGTTTCAAAACACAACTTGTCCATTGGAAAAGCATGGAAGAGTTTTTCGCACAATGTTTTGCAATATTTTGTGAATAAAACTGACTTTTTTCTATGTCTGATGTATGCTGAATATATAGAGAAATTTTATTTTTTGATTTTTTCCACATGAAAAGTTATCACATTAACAATGGAGATGTTTGTGCTGTAAATTGTTAAGATTACAAGGATATAATCGACCTTTAAGGTATTTTTAGTTTAAGTAAGCTATTCACAACTCAAAATTTCAGTAGAACATATTGTTGTTTTCCTTGGACGGTTAGTTAGAGCTCGCAGCACAGCTGCATTAGCAAAAGTATGTTTGAAATTTTGAAAAACAAAAACAATTTTACGAAAATCGGCATACTTAACCGAAATATAAGTGAAAAAAGATCCTACTGAAATTAGGGATGTACAATTCTCGCTCATGAGCGTGAGTGTTTCTTCTGTACTATTGATGTACTGTGCCATGGATACCCTTAGTAACTCATGGACTATGTACCTGGCGTATTCATAAGTCATCATGGGGTATACAATTCGGGTACCCATAACCCAGCATGTGTCATCTGGAACTGGTCTTCGTTACTCTTCTAGATCAATACAGGATTATTTTCGAATCAGAAATGAGCACAGGACAGGACAGTCCTGTTTCTCAGGATGTTCTTTCCAGTCCTGCCTTGAAGAAGGCGAGACATTTAAAATTTTTGTTCGATCCTGTCGCTGCCACCTGCTAGGTGGCATGGAGAAAGCAGAACAGGATGAAAACCCGTGTCCTGCATTCATCGGTAGGAGACAGTTGATCCTCGGTTTTCGATTTTATTATCTAAGTGGGAAAATTATATTCAATTTTGAATAACTTGATAAAGTTTTATTAATCCTGTCAATGCCACGAAATGATGAATTTCATTAAAAGAAAATTCTCCAGTTTTTTTGTATATGCAGTAGACAACATTGGGAGACATAAAAATTAACCGTAGTTTTTAACAATATCAAAATGTTCAAAGATCGAAACACAGAACTGTTTATATATATGAGGATGATCAGTCTGACCGAGTACCTCTATTCTTAGTTATATCGTACACCTTTTATGATTTATCAGAAAAGCACGATTTTCTTTTTATTAGTTATAGTGTTTAAGTAGTGCTGATGAATTGTTATTATTTGGGTTATATGTTCTGTAAGAAACCAAAATAATCAAGGTTCTTCATATGTTATTTCAAACAATATCGACGATTCTTAGATACTATAACTGATAAAAGAAATCTTATTTTTCTGCTAAATTATAGAAGCTGTACGATATAACCAAGAATAGAGATACCCGGCCAGACGGATCATCCTCATATACATAGGATAAAAAAAATTTCGTAGGGGTTCATACTCAAAAACTTAGATTTTCTTGTGTTTACACAATCATTTTTTTCTCTATGAGTTTAAACGCTTAGAAAAGACTACTTTCGAACATTTACACGCGTTTTTGCAAAACCTTGTCTACTTGAGAAGGGTTAAAACTAGTGGTTCCATAATCAAATGACAATAATATATTGCTGAAAGATTGGCAATTTAATATTTCAAATTGTCAATTATTGAATGAAGAATTATTTTCATAGACGATTGAAATAATCATTGAAATTTCATTCCATTTGATTTAACAAATCGAAAATAATAAAAATCTAATCTTCTTTGTACATTTCACATGGATTAGTCATTGATAAATATTTACATCATATGAATGAAAAATTGTCATTTGTTTTTTCTAAATACGTCATTTTTTTTGATAAGAGACAAACGAAAAAAAATAACTCAATCTTGAAAAATCTAAGCTGAGATAAATAATTCAGTTTTTGACATACAGTTTGATTAACATAATCGTAAAATTCATTGTCTAATCTCATCTCATCTGCTGTACTTAGATTCATTAATAATTTAAAACCTCGACACATATTGATAGATTGTTTGAGTATTTGTCTTTGATTTATTTGTGCTTGAGAATATGAATAGATTTACTGTTTATTAATTAATTTATATCTGATCAATATTTTTGGGAAGAGCAATATGAATTTTTCAAACTATTTTAGCTAATTCATTAAACAAACCGAATAGGAGTATTCTGAAGGAAAAAAAAAAACGACGTTTAATATAATTATGTACAGATATTTATAGATGGTTAAAATTTTGTGTCAATTTATTATCGATTGAATGGAAAAAAACAATTATTATTTTTATTTAAAAAAAAAAAAAGATGCCTCAAGTTGAACTTCTAAAAAAGTGTTGTTCATTTTTATTGATAATATTGTTGATTATTAACGACATCTTTAATTGTCGCGGTCAATGTAAATTGACAATGGCTAAATAATGATAAATGAGATTTTATTTTCCTTCTTTCATATTAATGTAGACTTAAAAATACATATAGTGAAAGTTACAAACAAAACCAAAAAAAAGGGCTATGGTACCTATTGTATTCGATGAATTAAATGTATTCACATTTCCTCATAGTCGAATGAGAAAATTATTAAATTGTTGTACTTCAAAAGTAATATAAAAATAAAATTGAAATTTTGAATAATTTAAAAATAAAAAAAAAACATATATATTGTTTATTAAATAGTTTGGTCATACAGATTTTACAAGTTTAAATGATTTTGAAGAATTATTAATACGTTTACAAGGAATATTTACAGAATTTATGGCACATGAAGAAATTGAAAATCATTTAGTTATGAAAAAATTAAAGAAAAAATTAAAACAAAATTCTCCAATTGATGATACACAACTTATTTGTAATTGTCATACAATTGATCGTTTTACACCATTAATGACTTTATTTCGTGATGGTTATGCATTTATAAGACGAGGAAATGCTGATAGAATGTCTTATGGTGTTAAATTACATAAAGCCATGAGCAATTTTTATCAAGATTTTGTACCACATATGAATGAAGAAGAAAATGTTTATTTAAATTCTTTTTTTTAGTTTTTTATATAAAATAAAATAAATTTTTTATATTTAGGATATTCAACCATTGCTTTCAAAATATTTTACAGAAATCGAAATAAAAATGATGCGAACTCAAGTTATTAAAATGACTTTACAAAAACGAGAAAATTCAACAATTAATCTTATTTATCAAATTGAACGACCATTAAAAATTTATGGTATATTATAAGTTTTATTTATCAATTTATTTTATGTTTATTTTTTTGTTTTTAATTAAAGTTATATCATATGAAAGATTTACATCGATTAATAATTTATCTAATAATACATTACAATTTATAATGAAATATTTAAATGATCGACAATTAAAACAATCATGTCTTAGAGTTAATAAACAATGGAATCAATGTGCATTAAAAGGTTTTTATATAAAATATTTTTTATTTTTGTTAAATTATTTTGTTATAAAATAGTTCTTAGAAATCGTTCACCAATATCACAAATACCTGAAGAAATATTATTACGTTTATTTAAATATTATTTAAATCCATATGATTTATTTAATTCATGTATTCATGTTAATAAACATTGGAAATATATTATTAAAGATAAAACTATTTGGAATATTGTTAATCCTATTAATTGGGCAAGAGGTCTTATTTGTTTTTTTTTGTTTTCTTCATGTTAATCATCTATATTTATTTATTATTAATAGGTCAATTCGATTCAAATATTCCATTTGAAGAAACAAATATAGATCAACATCATTATGATTTATGTGTAAGAATATTTATTATAATGAAATAATAATCGATTATTCTATGAGATTAACTGAAAAAAAAATTTTTTATATTTTTAACTTTGTGAGATAAACTTGTAGAATAAGTAACAACTTCTAATTTAATTATCTATGTTAATAAATAGTGATCGAGAATATGAAAACTATTGTGTTCATCTAATATGAAATATTGAATTGACTATAAGAGTAATTATTTAACATTATGAAAAATAGTTTGTTATTGAAAATTCTTTTTTTTTTGTTTTCATCATATTCTAAATGATAACGAATTTTTAATTTAATGTTTTTAGAAAATGAACGAAATACGAGTAATAACTGGTTTTGTTAAATATTTTTTACCTGAATATGGTTCTTCAATTGAAAATTTAATTTTATATGGAAGTTTAACAATTAACGATAATATAGTAAGATTTTATTTCATATTTATCGAAAATAGAGACTTGTTATAGGCACGAAAAATTTTTGATTCATGTCCAAATTTAAAACATCTCAATATTGGAATGACTAAATTAACATCAAAAGCATTTATACAGTAAGTTGACTTTTGTTTTTTTTTTTTTTAACGAATAAAATTGAATGATTGAAAAATCGATTAGTCTTATATATTAATAGATAGATTGATATAGAATAATTTATTAAAATGATAAATAAATAATTAAATTTGTTTTTTTTTTATTAATAGTTTTCGATGGATAAATTCATTAGAAAGTTTAATATTAGAAGGATGTGAATTAATTGATGATTATTTATTTGTTAATATAATATCATCATTAATATTAACAGAAAAAAATGAAAATATTATTATTGAAGATACACATCAATGTTCATTTGAAGAAAGATCTTCTTATATTAATTGTTCAAATCGTTTATTATTATGTCAACAATGTTTTTCTTTATCAAAAAATTTATTAAAAAAATTTAAATTAAAAATTCTTAATTTATCTGGGTGTTATAAAATAACTGATTATGGTTTAAAGTAAAAAATTTTTAATATTAATTTATTTTATTTTATTTTATTTTATTTTCTTATTTAGTTTATTAATAAATAATGGTATAAATGAATATTTAACATATATTGATTTATCTGGTTGTATTCGAATAAGTTCTGATTGTTTATTATTATTATTAAGTTCATCAAGAAATTTAATAGCAGAAAATATTTATTTTTGTGATAATATATCATTATCATTATTATCAACAGCTAATTGTTGTAGAAATGTTGAAAATCATTGTGGACGTTATTGTTGTCGTTCAACATATTCATATTGATCGTTCGTTCATTTTTTTCTTTTTTTCTCATAATAAAAAAACAAAAAACTAAAGTTAATTTTCTTTTATAAATATATAAATATTTTTGTTATTATATTTAAGATAAAAAATGTCATTAAACTATGCAAGAGAATTATTAAAAATAAGTATAAGTCAATTATGTGATGCTATTGGATTTGATACAACATCTGAAATAGCTCTTGATATATTAGTTGATATTTGTGAAAGACAATTTCAATATTTATCTAAACAAACATCAAATATAATTCAATTAAATAATAATTCAAATGTTAATTTAATTGATTTATTAACAATTATTATTGATAATAATCAAAATAATTTTAATAATATACATAAATATATGTTATTATTTAAATCATTACCATTTTCACAAGATATTATTCAATTTCCATTTAAAAAACGAAATCAATTTTATTTAAGAATTCCACCGAAAGATTCACAAGAAATTATTCAACGTGATCAAAATCAATCAACTGATTATATTTATGATTGGTTACCACTTTTTCCTGATCGTAAACGAATTTTTTTATTTTTCGGTTTTAAATTTAAAATCACATTGTTTTTTCGTATAGAAGAAACACCAGAACATTCAACAACTCTCAATATTGATACTCATTTTGATGCTACTATTTATCATGATCAACAAAAAAAAATTGACAAGTATTAGTTTTTTTTTATTTAATTCAAACAATATCTTACTCTTATTTTTTATCTTTCATAACATAATTTAACAGAAAAATAATTTTTTTTTTTTTAAATTTATTATAAGATTATGTTAATCTAACTAAAATCTACTAAAAAGAGTTAGCAATCAATAAGCGCTAATTATTCGAAGTTACACAATAGTATAATCGATTGATTAAATCTTCTAAGATCATATTCTCTAATCTTTCAAAATTAGATATTTTAAAACAATTCTTTTCATAAGAATTTATTCATTTCAAATTTTTTTGCTTTGTAAAATATTATCTTTTTTTATTTTGAAAAAAAATCATTTTAAATAGAATTGTATCTTTATTATATATAGAACAATTAACTTCATACAGATATTTTATAGAATTTTAATTTATCATAATTCAATCTGAGTTTAAATAATTTTTATTTGATAAATAATTATTTTATAGAGTTAATAAAGATAAAAATCTTCTAATTAATTTATTTTATTTAGATCTGAGTCTCATCATCCTTTAACACTTTTATCATTCTTAAGTAAAAATGGTGATGAAACAACAACAACAACAATGCCTATTGGAAAACGACCTAATCAATCATTACCATCAGTTCTTTATCGTCCACGACGTATTATTGAAATGGAAGCTGCTGTTGCTGCTGCTGCTGCAGCTGCAGCTGAAAAAGCAAAAAAAGAACAACTTGAAAAGGTTTTTGTTTTTTCTTTTTATTATTATTTTCCTAGAAAAAAAAAAAAAACCAACTGAATTAAATAAAATAGGAAAATAATGAAAAAGATCAACAAGGTCCACCAATTCGTGTAACTATACCAAAAGCTTTAGTTGTTAATGATAAACCTTCATTACCAACTAAAAAATTTCCACCATCACAAACAGTACCATCACTATCAACAATAACAACAACAGCAACACCACCACCACCATCATTATCACTACCACCGCCACTCCTACCACCACCACCACCACCACCATCATCATCAACAACAATTGATGGAACAATGACTAAAAAAGTGGGAAGTTCATCTGTATTATATCCACATAGTCCATCAATTAATGTTGGAAAAAAATCAGTTGTTAGTCCACCAATAAATCAATCAAATGAAGTATATTCTCAATCAAATCTTTCAACTAATGTTAATATTTATTTTTATTTAAATTAATATAGTTTTTTTTTTTTTTTTGTTTGTTTTGTTAGTTGCCAGAAACATTATTAAATATTGATAAAAATAATGATACTGTACTTGATTTATCAATTAAACCACCATTACCAACACCAACAGCAAAAGTTCCAACATTAATATTAAATATTAAAAATGTTCCTAATCCTCAAATAACAAATAATTCTGTAAGTTAATCTATATATATAATGTTCAGTGTGTGTGTATGTGTCTGTGTGTGTGTTTCTCTGCACCGGGTCAAAGATCAAGGGCTTAATGGTCATATAAGACTACAAGGGGAAGGCACCAAGAGCTATTATATAGAGGTACCCACAGGTTATCATGGGGTATTATATGGAGGGACCAATAGACCCTGAAGGGCTATTATATGGAGGTACCCATAGGTCCTCAAGGACTATTATATAGAGGTACCCATAGGTTCTCAAGGGCTATTATATAGAGGTACCCACAGGTCCTCAAGGGCTATTCTATGGAGGTACCCATAGGTCCCCAAGGGCTATTCTATGGAAGTACCCATACGTCCTCAAGGCCTATTCTATGGAGGTACCCATACGTCCTCAAGGGCTATCATATAAAGGTATCCATAGGTCCTCAAGGGCAATTATATAGAGGTACCCACAGGTCTTCAAGGACTATTATATAGAGGCACTCATAGGCTCTCAAGGACTATTATATTGGGGTACCCATAGGCGCTGAAGGATGTCAGATAATAAAGAGATAAGGCTACAAGAGGTACAAAGGTTATAAGGCTACATGGGCTATAGAAATATGTGCGATAGAAGAGTATAAGGCCGTAAGGCTTTGATCTATATACATAATATCGCGTATCTATATGTCTGTTATCGGATGCAAAGTTAAACGTCTCAAGTCAGTCGTTAAAGGAGAAATGTGCCGTGCAGTATGCACGGGCTCTCGCTGGTTTACTAATATTAACCAATAAGAAAACAACAAGAAAATTCTATCGAATTAAATTGTAAAGTTTAATTTTTACACAATTTGACACACATCTTATTCATTTCAACTCGATCTATGGAAAACTTTCTATATTTAATTATTTTCACATATATATACATTCATTGATAAAGTTTTAACTCTCATTATTACAAATATCGTTTAGTAAAATCTGTAAGTTTTATCTCTTATAATCAAAAACTACAAGTGTAATATCATTGTCTCCATTGAATAGATTGTTTTTAATTTTCTGTAGAATATTTTCCTATAAATAAAATCTAGTGCGTCAAAGTTTTTATGAGTTTTTTTTTAATTTTTTGTTACATTTGATATAATGATAAAAATATTAATATAAATTAAGTTGATCTTTGTGTTTTCTACATAAAATAATCTAATTTGAAAAGTTGAAAATATGTGAGAACTATTTCGATAATTCATTTTGATTATCTCTAAAATATTAATCATCAAATGATAATTATTATTATGATAGTTAACTTTATCAATGAGAATATATTTCAAAATAATTAAACATACATGAACTTTTTCATAATAAAATCATTATTTTCAAAAAAAAGTAAAATAAAATTTTTTTCTATGTTTATAAATAGGAAACACCACCAACTGCTACAAAGAAATTTCAACGATCAATAAAAAGTACTAAGCCATTGTCTAGCACACGTGAGGTAATTTTTATTTATCATAGAAATAGAATTTCACATTTTGATCTTTTTTCGGAAAAGTTTTCAAAACAAAATTTTAATTTTCTACAATCAAAAATTTTCTGTTTTTTTTATTGTAATAAAGTCCAAAATATAATAGATTATCACTATTTTAAAGTTAAAAAGACAATATGATTTTGTTATTATTTTAATATTTTAAATTTATTTGAATTATTTGACATCGAATTTATTTTAAAATAATTCAAAAAACAAAATTCATTTGAATTTTTTTTTCTGAATTAAGAATATTTCATAGTCAAAAAGTTTAAACAAAACTACATTTCTTTCATTATTTATCATAGATATTGAGGAAATTTTTCTCATTAAAAACAAAAACAATCAAATTTAAATATAATTTATAAGAAAAAATGAAATACTGAATAAATCGAAAAAATCTTGTTTTATATTTCTATTGATTTATTTAGAAAATAAATTTAAAAATTCGAACACCATCATTACCATTATTTAATACAAATGAAACGAATTCAATGATAAGTCCTCCTGTTAGTCTTCCAAATGAAAATCGAATAAATCAAATTGAAAATTCAATTAATATTAATAAATTTTTAATTGATACAAATATTCATTTAAATCAATCATCAACATTAACATCAATTTCATCACAAGTTAACATTTATTAAAAAAAATTTTTTTACTTAAGTTTTTTTATTTTATTTAGAATCAATCAAATGAAGAAGAAAAAAAAAAGAAAAAAAAGAAAAAACATCATCATGAACAAGATAATAAACAAGATAAAAAAATTAAAAAAGAACAAGAAAATCAATTTAATGAACAACAACAACAAAATATCAAAATGGATATTGATTCAATTCCATCATCAACAAATATTGTAAGAAATAGTTTTTTTTTTTGTATTTTTAATAGTTTAACAAACAAAAAAAATTATATTATTTTTAGCCAATAACAAATCAATCAGGTGGAGGAACAATTCGTTTAAAAATAAAATTAGGAAAACCATCAAATTCAACTAATTCTCTTCAAACAACTAAATCTGATGATCAATTTAATTCAAATGATAATGAACAACGTTCTCATACAGAGTAATTTACATTTTTTTTTTTTCGTTTTTTTATCTATATATAAATAAATAAAATAGATTAAAAACAAGTCCAATACGTTTAACATTACCTGTATCATCATCATCATCATCAATAAATGCAACAATATCATCACCACCTGTTTCAAATCGTCAAGGAATTATTTCAAATATAAATCGAACACCACATAGAAGAAAATCTGGAAAAGTAAAACGTGTTCCACCAAAAACTGAAATAAATAATATTAATAAAATAAATTCAACATCAAATATAAGTTTACATGAAGATAATACTGTTTCAATTGATGATCTTCCACTTGGAGAACGTACATCACCTAATAAATCAATATTAAATCATATTCAAACTAATTTATCACAACAAATTACATCAACACCTATTAAAAAAAAACAAAATACTAATAAAAAAAAACAAAATACTAAACGAGCAAATAATATTGTTGGAGTTGCTGTTATTGAAGAACGACGTGTAAGAATTTATTTTAGTTTTTTTTCTCTCTTTCATTTATTTTGATTAGTTTTTATTATTCAAAACTCGAAATAATAGAATTTATTCATACATTTTTCATTATCATTATTTATATTACTAATTCGAGATTTTTCATTCATATAATGACTATTATGAGAGAATTCTTAATAGTGATTTTTGTTAAACTTTTCTAATGATTTCCATTACCTTTGACTTAAAAAATAAATATTTTTTTCGGTATTCTCATCGGATATTCCACTATTCTTCAACAAGGTTTATTCTAACCAATTGCTGCTTTTGTTAAAATACTTCTATAAATAGATGATCATTTTTCTATAGGTTACACTCTTATCAACCTTTTTCTTTTCATAATAAATAACAGGTTAAAAAAAAATAAACTTAATTGACAATCCAAAGCTCGAACATCATAGGAAAATATTTTATAATTTATGAGAGATTTCATCTCCGTATTTGTGACGACTATAATAATTAAGAACAATTTTCATCAACGTTTTCTCTGATGAATAAGAACTATGAACATTCTTTTATCAGTGATGAAAGAATCAACTCTTTTGATCAAAGCATGATAGAGATATTCAATTTTTTCTGTGATCAATGAGCTTTTGGAGTACTTTATAATGTGACTTACCGGTGGGTCACATCGCTACGAAAGGGTTAAAAAAATCTATTGACTAAATTTCGACTATAAAATTGTTTGTTTCGAAATTTTTTCGAACACTTTTTTTTTTTTTAAAATGCCGATAACTTTTCATAATTAGACTAAGAAGTTAAATTATTTTAATATTATTCTGAATAGGATAGAAATCTAATGATTGTCATAATATGAAGTAAAAATTGTGTTTAATAGTTTAATTTATTTCTTTATTAGATTAAAAGATAAATTATTTTAATTAAAATTTCGTTTTTAAGTTACAATTCTGAATTTTTTTAAGGATGAAATATATCTAAGATTAATTGTTGATAAAATAGATTTATTTTTATCATTCTAATATAACTATCGATGATAATAAATTCTTGTCTTAAAATTAATAATTTCGATCCTTATGAGGAACAAAGAAAATAAGTAATTACTAATTATCTAGTGACGAATAAAAAAAATAATTCCACTTTTTATTCGATTAGTCTAATAACAGATATGAATGAATGAATGAAAAAAAACAAAACAAACTCTAATTTAGATTGATCATGATTCTCAAGAAAAGATCTGGATATGTCCATCTTGTAATAGACCAGATAATGGACAAGAAGCAATGATAGCATGTGATTTATGTGATGATTGGTATCATTGGTTAGTATATTATTAATTTTTGTATTTTAAAAAAAACAAAACATTATTGTTTAGGGAATGTGTTGGTATTGTTGAAGAACCTCCCGAATCAATTCCATGGTTTTGTCCAAAATGTCATCGATCAAATTCTTCAACAGCATCAGCACAAGGAATAAAACCATCAGCATCAAGTAAAGCAAAACGAAAACGAGCTTCAGCTCTTTATCAACAAAAACAACAACAACATCCCCAACAACAATTTACATTAATCTAGTCTTTTGTCAGATTAGTTTTGTTTTATTTGAACAGTTTATTTCTCTGTAAACAATAAATATTTAAGAAAAAAAAAACCCACTACATCATTTAAATATTAAATCAATTAAATATTTTCTAGATTGAACAACAAAATAAAATACGAATGCATCTAGTCAATAATAATGATGGATCAGTTTCATCAATTCCACCTGATAATTGGAGACCACCATTTGTTACATTAGAAACATCGTATGGATTTTTTTTTTTCTTTGTTTTTTATAAATAAATTATTTAAATAAATAGTATGGGTAAAATGGTTGTTGAACTTTATTGGGATCATGCACCAAATACATGTAGAAATTTTGCTGAATTAACTAGACGTGGATATTATAATTCAACAAAATTTCATCGAGTTGTTAAAGATTTTATTGTACAAGGTGGTGATCCAACTGGTACAGGACGTGGAGGAGCATCAATTTATGGAAAATATTTTAATGATGAAATAACACCTTTATTAAAACATACTGGTAAAGTTTGTTTGTTTTTTTTTATTTCAATTATTAATTTTTTACAACTATAAATCAGATATTATTTTTATCTTAAATATTATCAAACGTTTTTGCTTTTTATTCAAAAAGTAAATCAATTTAGTTTTGATGTTCTTAATCAATATTAGGTTTTTTTTTTTTGTTTCTAATCTAAAATATCATCGAAAAAAATATTTATCTTTTTTGCTACAATTAATATATGTTCACTCTTAAATTAACTTTTTGTAAAAACGAGAAAAACCAAATAGAGAAAATTCTAAATGGAAAACTTATTTTTTATAATTCCATGTATGACAATGCCAATATATCTTTCTGTTTCTTTTTTGTTGTTGATGATTTGCATATATCTTTCATTGTCTCTTATTTTCCTTGTATATAAAAACGTGTATTCTATATGTAAACGATATGATTGATGATGTGAACAAAGATGAATAATATGTTATATGATATAGATTAGCAGTTCTTCTATAAAAAAAACTTATCAGTTATATTTATTTTAGTAAATTATAATAAGAAATAATTCCCCAATAAAATATTTATTTTATTTGATAATACAAAATTAAATTCGTATTGATTTATTTATATTATCTTAAATAAATCCTATCGTCAATATAGATAATGAAAATCAAATAACTATTATTCTATATGTGACTTGTTTTATTAAATATTCAATATTGAAGACTTTTTTTTTATTGAGTAATTTATTCGAAAGATTCTTTAATAAAATATTGTATTTTATATTTATAATAAATAAAATCGAATAATTCGATTTTCTTAATAAGAAAAAAAAAAGATATAAATAATGATTTAATTTGTTAAAAGGTGCCGGTATAATATCAATGGCAAATGCAGGTCCAAATACAAATGGTTCTCAATTTTTTTTTACATTAGCTCCAGCTCAATCATTAGATAAATTACATACGATATTTGGACGTCTTCATTCTGGTATAAATGTATTACAAAAAATCTCAATGATTCAAACAACAGATAATGATCGTCCTGTTGATGATATAACTATTATTCGTGCTTATATAACACCAAATACACAAACAGAATAATTCCATTTTCTTATTTGTTTTTTGTTTGTTATTTCATGTAATATGTTACATTTGTTCTTCGAAAATTTTCATTAAATATACAAGATCAACAAAAAAAAAAGCTTCATTAATTATTTTGCTACTAAAATAAATTTGTTAAATGGTAACTCTATAATTAGACTCTTTCAAATTAACTTTTCTACAGAATTCAATTTTGATTAATATTATATATCGATTGAAATCTATTATATTTCATATGCAAAACAATTTTTAATAGATAAATTTTACAGCAAAAAAAAAAAAAAGAATGATCTCAAGAACTCGTCAAATAAACAATTGTATTAGAGATTTAAAAACTTTCTATTTTTCAAATATCATTTTAAAAAGAGCTATTTATAGACTAATATGAATTTGCATACAAATTATTTGTTTAGTCAAGATGCATAAATAAGATTTAGCTTATCACAATATCGAATTTACTAGAAAATTAAGTGCTTTATTATTATATTTACTTGAATAAATAATTTTACATAAGAACTGTATCAACATCAGTATTTTGTTTTGTAAAGACACTATTTTAGACTTTTTTTTATAAAATTTTTTTGATAGCTGTTCAATACAAATCAAATGTCATCAACTGTTTGTAGATTGAAGCCGTCCAAAACTAAGCTAATATTTTATGTTAAGACTTGATCGGCATACATTAGATTGTTTTTACTAAGACAATAGAAGAATATTATTTAAAATCTAAAATCATTTTCCTTTTTATGATTTATTAAATAAATGTTGATTGAAATAATGACATAAGATAATTATTTAAATGAAAATCTTTACATGGCATATATATATGAATGTTTGTATTAACAACACGTTCATGGTTTCTTTTTTTTGTATTTAAATATTTTGAAATGTTTGTTAAGAAAATGAACATATCTTCTTATTAACTATAAATTCTTATAGATGATTAAAGAATATTTAGAGGTAAAAGTTAAATAGGATAATGACAAATAGCTATGATGATAATGATTTTTATGGGAAAAATCTATCGAAACGAATTTTTTTTGATGAGACCAAAGCAAAAAAAACTCATCTAATGCTTAATATGAAATAAGATATAAGAGGATTCGGTTTCAAATTAAAACAAAAAGAAAAAAAAACATATTGTGTTATTCGAACAAATGTTTTTGATAAAAAAATGTCATATGCAGAAAAATTTCGACATGTTTATCAAAAAAGAAAGAACAAATGTTGGTTAGTACTAATTTGATTGTCAGAAAATATGTTTAAATATAATTGATGATCAATCAATCGAAAAACTTCTCAATTCGAATATACTTATTTTGTTTTATATCTAACAAAATTCATCTATAATTAATTTAACAATTCAAAAAACATAAAGGAAATAATTAAAAAAATTATTTTTATCAAAAAAAAGAAAGAATAAATTAACATAGAACTATATTCTATCAGAGTTTATATTCAATTTACTCTTTTTTCTATTGTAGTTATATCATCTTGACTCTTTAAATAAAAATTTTATTTTTTGATCTAAGTAATCAATCGATCAAAAAAAAACACAAATGAGAAAGAATTTCAACTTTTTAATATATTAATCTTATTTAAATAATGAAATGTTTTTTTTTTGTTTGTTTGAAATTGTTCTTTTGATAAATTCAAGTGGTAATTATATATCAATATTCTATTGAGAATAAATCTTTAATATTGATTTATATTATATGAAATAATATTCAATCGGAAATCTTTATTTTGTATTTGTTTCTAATCTATTTTCTTACTCAAAACAATTCATTGTAGACTTCTCAATCATGTTTGATACGTATATATCTATTCAATTTATAGAACTGCTCAAGGGAATATCATTATTAATCATTGTCAGAATATCTATCGAAAAAAAAAATGTAGAATCATAGATAATTGCCATAAAAGAAAGAACATCATTGCATTTTGATAATAATATCTCTTCTTCGGAATGTTCTGAGAGTAGGCGTAAGTTTCCAAGTTAATTAAAAACAAGCTTTCATTTTTTTATTAGAAAATATTAAAATAAAAAAAGATAATGGAAAGTGTCTCTTATATATAGAAAATAGTATTTAATTAAAAGAAAATGTGTTTTTGACTTGCATTTACTTCAGTTCGTCGTGACATGTATTTATGTTTTTATCTTTTATAAAATCATCTCGATATTTATTTACATAAAAAGTAAAATATTTACATTTTCTATATTGATATATTTCTATATTACAATTAATATATTATGTTAGATGATCCAGATAAATAGGTAATGAACTTCCTGATCGGATTGATTCTATTTAATAGAAAAACATCTATTAATCCGAATGTCGGACATCAATAGAAACTATTCTTTACGTTTTTCTTTTGTCAGACATGAATGTTTTTTGTTTATTAATTTGTAAAAAAGAAAACAAGAGAACATCCAAATGTAATAAGATCTTTGTCGATTTGAAATGAAAGAAAAAAAAAATATATATATATATCTCAAGATATATTCCGTTTTTTTCCTTTTCTCATTACGCAGTCGATAGAGTTGATGTCAACTTTGTTGTTGTCGCTTTCTTTTTCTCTCTCTTCATATTTACAGACAAACACAAGATTTAATTATTAGTCTTTTTTTTTTTCTTAGTTCTTCTCGTATATTTTTTTCGACATATATGTTTATATATACAAACAAAAAATGGTCGTTAACAATAGAAAACAGATGAAGATGATGACAGAATGATCGAAAGACTATTGTTCTTTATTGGAAAAAAGAAAAAAAAAAAAGAAAGAAAGATATCGGAACTAGTTCCACTATAACTGACATGTTTTTCTTATTTCGTATGTTGACATTAGCGTTAAATTCCTTTTTTTTTACGAGTGCAGTTGCGCATTAAATGACATGCTTTTTTTTTCTAATTGTATTGATATAATATATCTTCTCTAGTCATTAGTATAGATTATTCCAAAAATAACTTGTATAACTAAATACTTTTTCAATTGACTTTTATTAATTAAAAAACATGATATTATCAGATATAAGAGTTGAATATTGAAAGACAAAATACTAGAATAAGAAAAAATATTATCTATCCTTATCAACTATAATGACATAAAACCATCATCAGTATATCACTGTTAAATAAACACTTATATTATATTATTCTAGTATTTCTCAATAATCAAAGTGTTGTTATGTTTGAACTTTATTCAACCAAATAAAATAATATGAACTACAATAAGAGAAAAGAAAGAAGAGAGAACGAGAATAATATAGCTAGATAAAGAGAAAACGGGTTGTTAATTATGGTCATGAGTTGCATTTTTCTCTTGTGTTAGAAAACGAGAAAAGAAAGGAAATAGAGTACTCAGCATAGACACTATTTTTCTTTTTTTAACAAAGATTGACACGCACATTTTTTTTCTATCTATATTATAATTCAAATATAGATATTTCTAGATAATATTTTATTGTGAAGAAAATAAAAAAAAAAGGAAACGAATTTATATATAAAAGTAAAAAGAAAAGAAATGAATTGTACAGCAGAATTACAAACAAAAAATTATTCATCAACAATATTAAATCAAGCTATGAATGATGATGCAGGTTCATGGTGGTGGTGGACTAATGTTATTGGTAAGATTATTTTATTCGCTTTTTGTTTCTTAAATCTATTCTTTATATGATAGAATATATTTCATAATTTTTATAAATATATTAAAACCTAATGTGTTCATATAATGATAATCGTTTGATTTATTTCAGAATAATAAATACTCTTTATTTACAAATAAAATAAAATGAAAATTTTTGTCCTAGAAAAAAAAACCGAATATCGAAATTTGTTTTTAAAAAAAAAGAAAATTAAATTATTCCGAGTTATTTATTTTTCTTCAAAAAAAAAATAGAAGAGTTTTTCTTGAAAATAAGATTTTTATTTGATTTTCTATTATCTTGTTAAAAAAAAAACATCAGTATATTCTATTGATTAAATTAAGAAGAAAATATTTTTTTCTTAAACGATACTCAACAATCATTTTTCTTTTGGAAAAAATCTTGTTTTATTTTATTTTAATGAAATAAATATAAATAAAATTTTTAAAAGGTACATTATTATTTGGTTCAATTGGTATAATTGGTAATATAATATGTTTTATGGTTGTATATCGTTTTTCATTTCAACAACAACATTCATTTGTTGAATATCTTCGATCATTGGCTATATTTGATTTTTTATCTTTATTATTTGAATGTATTCAATCATTACATGATTTATTTCTTTATTTATTTTCATTTAATTTATTAAATTTTCGTTCATCAATACTTTGTAAACTTTATGAATATTCAAATCATGTAATTATTTTACTTGCTTGTTGGACAATAGTTGGTTTAACATTTGATCGTTTAATACTTGTTTGTGATCCATGGGCAAAAAAATGGCCAAATCTATCTCGTCGTATATGTAATTGTAAATGTGCAAAAAGAATAATATTATTTTTAATAATATTATCATTAATAATAAATATACCCGATATATTATATCAAAAATGGATATGTCGACAATCTGGTTATCAATATAGTGCTGCTTTTATTGGAAAATTATATTTAAATGAAACTCAAATAAATCAAACATCAAATCGTCTTATTTGTCAATGTCGAACATCTCCAAATTTAAGTCGTTTTCAAATTTTATTTTATATTCAATGGAAAACATATGTTTTTCATTTATTTTGTTATACATTAATACCAGCTATTATATTATTAGCAAGTAATACAGGTAAAACATTTGTTTTATTGTTATTTTAAAATAATTAATAATTATCGTTTTTTTTTCTTTTATTATATAAAAAATAAAGCCATATTAAAATTAGTTCATAGTCGTCGTCAAATAGTTGGACAAAAAAATGAACATCTTCGATCAAAATTAACTCGTACATTAACATTAGCATCAATTATATTTTTAGTTCTTTATTTTCCTCATGCTATTGTTGAAACATTCTCAATATTAATATTTCCAAAATATCGTATTCATTGTCATATTCGTTCATTAATTATAATTCGAATATTAAAACGTTTAAGTGAATTATTAAATATAGCTGCATTAGGTATTAATTTTTTCTTATATATATTAGGTGTTAATCATTATCGTTCAGCAGCTATACAAATGTTAGGTTTACATCATTTTCAATTTTTTGTACCATATTTAACTGTTGAACATAGAAATTCAATTGGATCAAATATATTTAATTCAAGTCAACATAATAGAAGAAATTATTTAAATTATCAATCAAATATTAAATTATTAAAAATTAAAAATAATAATAATAATAATAATAGTTTTAATCAAAGTCCAAATTTATCATCACACAATCAACATTTAACAAGATGATATTTATTGTAAATTAATATTCGATTATTTATATCAATCAAAGATATTTTATTTCGAATATTTAGAGAAGAAAAAAACTTAAATGAATTTATCAATATTTATATTGAACTAAACAATATTAATATCGTTGATATAAAGAAAACAGTTGAAATAATTATTAAACTAAAAGTGATTATTGTTAATTATTTATGTAAATAAATGTTCAAATATATAAAATAATAAATCTTCGACATTATTTTTCAAGATAATTATTTATATTAAAATAGATTAGAGAGGATTCATTCGATGATCACTATGTGTCGTCCTACACATGAAAAATGTTTTTTCCCTTCTCTCGAATTCAACAGTTATTTTTTTTTGTCTCTGCCTTGACTCACTCCTGTCTTCCTACGATATTTTTCTCATGTGATATTATCATTTATTCAATTAGACGTTAGGAGAATATTACCAAAAAATGTTTTATTGATTAATATTTTACTTCATTATGATTAACTTAATTAAGAAATAATATGTTTTTTTAACGATGAAAACATCAAAATAGGATCTTTTTATATTCAGTTAGTTATCTAAACGAAAATATATTTTCTTTTATGAATAAATCAATTAAATTGAATTCAAATTAAATGACGAACTCGTTTAGTTAGGTCTACAAATATTTATTTAGATTTTTATCCAATATAAAAAACAATTTAATCAAAATTTTTCTCTTTATCTACTTGACAATAAATATAAACATATAATTTCTATGATTCAATAGACAAAAGACTTAACATTTAAGTTTAAATTGATTATAGGCTAGTTAATATATCTATTTTTGTTATTATTGATATATATTGAAAACAAAGGGATTCTTTGATGAATATATAAAAAGTGTAAAAAAAAACAACAACATAGAATGGAATAGTTTTGTGATGTGTTCTATTGATTGATAGATGACAAAAAAAAATGAGAAACTCATTAATATAAATAGTCAAAAGTTGTAAACGTAGTGAAAGAAGACTCGTTTATTATTTACTATTACTCTGGTTAAAAAACAAATAGAACTAATCGAGAAACTGATTTGACTATTCGAGCATGAGAAAACAAAAAAAAATAAAGAATGGGTCATGCAGAGTTAAGAGTCTATATGATTGTTTAGATTGATGATCAGACGGAAAGAAAACCCTCAAGATTGCAATTATGTGTTACTCATTCGTTCTCCTAGTATTGCCTTAAGCATATTTATGAAAAATAATATTCTTGTAGTGAAAGATAAAATCTTCTTTATGTCTATATGCTATTTTTTAAGCTTATTGTAAAAGAGGATTTTGTCAGCGAAAGCTTTTCTAATAATTAATACTACAAAAAATAAATTATCAGTTATTTGTTAACTACGAAAAACCATCAAACAAATACTATGCCGATATCTTGTTTTTCTCTTTTAGTACAAGGTCGTAGAATGAGTTCAGAAACATTGATGATTGTTCTTTACCTTCATAGTTAAGACAGTAAAATATTATATATACCTATATTTGCATGAAATTTGTGTCAAGGTTACATTATGAACATGAATATAAATTGATGGGTTTTTTTGTCAATATGAATATATTGCAATTTTTTTTAGTGATTGTTGAATGATCGATAATATAATGCTAATTTTTTTTTTAAATAATAATCTATGTACCGAAATATTTTATTAAGTCTATTCAATTTTAAAAATGATATATGAATATTTTTCAACAATTCTTTTTTCTTGTGAGAAACAATAATCAGGCATAGAATATAACTTCTTGTTTCTGTTCTCTTGGTTTTATTTTGTTCATTTGAAATGAGATTTTGACTTTATCATGAAAAGGGAAATTTTCTCCGAACGAAAAACTTCATACTAAGAAATGTTTGATCGACCCACGGAGAAAGTTTGGAGTGAAACCGCAGTTTTCTGCTAGGACATCGTGGTTAGTCGCAGTCTCAGAACCGCAATGCACTGGAGCCAAAAAATAACCTGTCGTACTGGGCCTATATTTCACTGCATATTGAAGTATGAGAGAATTTAAGAATGAGAAGGATATCATGCCCACGATTTCTGTGAAAGTTTCAAATATTCAGATAACCAATCTGGCACTGGAAAGTCACTTAGTGGTAATAGGATTTGAAAAAGTTCACTATATTGCCTCTCGAAGGACATTTTTTCTGGATTTCCATAGAAGTTCAGTCAGATCTGGTCGCTTTGATAGGACTGAAAAACTGCGATGTACCGCGCGGTGCAAAAAGGACGGCGTATTACCGCCTCTTGTGAAAACTGCGGGAATTAGATCATTTATTCGATTGTCCAAAGAACCACCAGTATCACGCCATCTTAGGAAAAACCGACGGCTGTCTACATAGCTTTATGAAATACTTTCGTTTTATTCAAGTAAAAACAAGATGTTACTAGAAAAAATAACAGTATACGAGTTTAATTCTTTTCTTCCGAGATTATTTCTGCTGAAAGGTGAGAAGAGAGTGCAGTTTATTGTGATAAAACGTGTTTAGCTTTTTTGCCACTATGGGAATGAAAGGGGTTAAACGATACATCTTTAGTCGACCCTAACTGATATGTAAAAGTGCATTAAAACGGATAGATTCACTACAATTTGCCTATGAACTACATTAAAATCTGTTTCTACAAGAATAAAGCCGTTTTAACGGGTTCAATCTATTGATTCATCATATCAATGAGGTATAACGAGCTTTTTCTCCATTTTACTCTCTAAACTTGTTGAAACATCGTTTTAGCGCTTTTCTGTCTACATAGGTGTGAGTCTTCTCGTATCTCATATCCAATATCCACTGACGCATTCACACCTACAGTCTTTTCTTTTATAGAACAAAGTTCTTGTAATTAGAAATAGAGAGATCATGAAACAGCGAATGATGCGTGACACTTTACAGTTGTTTTATGAGTTAGAGACGCTTGGATGAGGGTGTGAATGTGGGTGTGGATGTGATTGTTGCGTGGGTATGATGCGACGAACAATACATGCAGCTGCACACACGCATACGCACCCATACTCACCCACCCACCACACCCCAATTGGAATTTCAATTAAACGAAATGGCAGATCTTGAATTTCAACAAAATTTTCTTGTTACCCATTTAATAAATTACAAAATGATAAATTAATCTTTATTTTTCAGTAAAAAATTTGATTGCAACGCGTACTAATTGATAAGACTCCATCATGTTTTTTTTCTTTTATCAATTCTGTTTTATTTGGAACCTTCTCATTCTTCCTATTTACACTATTATTCACTATATTTTCGGTTTTTTCCCTTTGTTTCCTTTCCTATATGCGATTATCAGTATTTTGTTCAATGATTTCGAATTCTATTTGGCATCTTACTCGAAATTATTTTCATTAATAATAAGAAAAAGCAAATCGATTATGTTAATTACTCATCTAGGATGAAATTATAACTTGACTGTTCTGTATCAACTGAAATACCTTCCGGCTAAAGTGGTCAAATTACTAACCATGAGAGACTATTAAAATATCGAAGGCACCTCTCAATATGTCGATTTCAAAGGATAAAACAAGATCTCTTACATTTGTTTTAGCTCGCGTTTTTCGCAGTCAAGATCAAATGACCTACTCCCTCTGAATTGACTATAGTTCGAATAAGCTTTCGTTTGAGAAAAATAAATCCAGAACAAAAAAGATTTTTCTTTGATAACCTAGGGTAATTCTTCAATGGATGGTTCTTCTTTTTATTTCCGTGTAGTTATTAAACGTGTTTTCATTGTATTAACATCGAACATTGTGTAATTAAATATCAAAGAAAAAATACAAGTACCAATAATCAACCTCAGAAATCGACGTCAACTGTGTGGCACAACTCGATAAATGTACACAACAACATATGTTCAATTTGTTAGTTATATTGTCACTTTTTTCAGTGATGAACTCAATCATCAGGTCGAACATCATCTGGTTCCTTCTATAAATATATTTATCTTTATATAAAAAAATCACATATTGTTCAGCAAAAATGTTGCAAATTTGTCTTATCTTTTCATTGTTGTATTTAATTAATGTCTGCAAAGATCGATCAATGTTTTTATCATTTGAAAACGCTACATAATTCAAATAAAAATTGGAATCATCTTGAGAATGTGGGCTAATGAAATGCTCGCAATAACACCCACACTTTCAAAATAAAATTTTGTTGGCGCAAGAAATAATGAAATCAATGATTTTCAGTACTTGCTCAAATATTCATTTGCTGTATTTCTTAATCAGTATTTTTATTCAGTTCTTCACATTTATGCTATTAGACAAAAGAAAAGCAAGAAAGCAAGTCTCTTTCGTTTGCAAATCGATTTTCTCATTCAATAATCATATAAAGCAGTTGGAAAAGCGAAAATCAAACGAATTGAATCTTTTTTTGTAAGATATAAATGTACTGCATTTCTGAATACGCAATTTTATTATCCTGGAATTTATATATTTGCGTAGATAGATGTATTTTTTTTACAAATTTTATATAGCCCAATTGATCTGTTTAGACCGAGTGATAAATGTATTTCAGAAAAGACAAACACGAAAAACAACATGTATTTTTATCTTAATAAAACATGCTAATCTTTCTGATGAAGATAGTAGTCTTTGAAAAGATTTTTGTTGAAAAATGAATTGATCTTTTATTTAAAAAAATACTCTTTTTTGTTAGATACTAATTTCATACTATCAAATAATATTTTCTTTGAAAATACAACACATTTATTTTGAAGAAACACATAAATGTTCTATTAAAGCTTGTTTCTAATATCGAATTTCACTTATCAATAGGACTATATTAAATTTGAAAAAGTAAGAAATACAATTTTTTTATCGAGTTTTTCAAGAGTTAATCAATGCTGAGAATAATATTTTCTATACATATAAGAATTGATTTTTGTGATGGATTATTTCCAGCTACTCAGTTTCTTTCAGTAACTAATCTACATTGAATTGATTCTACCTTGTCCATTTCGTCCACTTTGTTCAAAAGATTGATTTGCTTTAACTTCTCGATATTTCAATTTATTCTCTAAGAACATATTAAAGAAATCTCCCAAATAAGTTGCAAAGCATAATTTAATTAGTTTTCTAATGACAGATTGTACACATGATTATTTCTAATGTTTCATGTTGATTTTTTTTTCTTGGAATAAATTATGCTATCGACAACTCCCGACAACTGTTTCTTAGTGAAATCAGACAAATTTCCTGCTTGACTTTACATATAACAAAGAGCAAAAAGAACAACATAACATATGAGCATCTATTTACAACAAATTCAACTCGAACATAACATTGATCTTCAATGAACAAATATGTCGACAACAAAAGAAATTTATGTAGCTCGTCAAACATAAAATCTTCATCTAACGAAAACAACAGCTGATATACCGGAACATACTAATGGATTCTATATGCCACCGGCTAAACGTCGTCGTTTACAAGTATAAGTGTTTCAAAATAATTAAAAAAGAATATTTCTACGTTTAGTTTAGGGTACATTAACTGATATATTAATAACTGAATATCAACGTTTAGCATGGGAAGATTTAAAAAAACTATTGATGGCCAAGTTAAGAAAGTGAAACATTCAAATGTAACAAAAATTGCTCATGAATTATTTAAATATAATATTATTCGTGGTCGTGGTTTACTTGCTAAAGCTATTATTAAAGCACAAATTAAATCTCCATATTCTACTCCTGTTTATGCTGCATTAACATCTATGATTAACTCAAAATTTCCACAAATTGGCCAATTAATTTGTAAACGTCTTATATCATCATTTCGTAAGGCACATATGGATGACGAAAAAACGAAATGTTTTGCAGAAGCTAAATTTCTTGCACATCTTATTAACCAAAGAGTCGTATGTATTTTTTTAATAAACACAATAGAGCAATCTATACTATTGTTAGTTTTTTTTATTTAGTTACATGAAATAATTGCCTTACAAATCCTTCTGTTTCTATTCGAGAATCGAACTGATGATAATATTATATTAGCTATTGAATCGTTAAAAGAATGTGGTCAAAAATTATCAACAGTTAGTCCACAAGAATTATATACTATATATTTAGTATTAAAAAATTTACTTCAAGAACCATCATTAAATAAACAGACACAAGATATGATTCAAGATTTATTTACTATACGAAGAGATGGATTTGAAACATATCCAGCTATTCAATATGGTTTAGATTTAGTTGATAAAAATTATCAATATACACATATATTACTATTAAATAATTCTTATGATTCTGAAAAAATGCTTGGTAAAATAAATATTCAATTCACTTAAAATATTTCACATTTTTTTTTCTTTTTTATTTAGATCAATTTCAATATGATGAAGAATATAAAGTTAATGAAAACAAATATAAACAAAGTCGGAAAAAAATTCTTGTTAATAATAGTGATAATGAAAATGAATCTAGTTCGAATTCATCAGATAGTGATGAAAAAGATAATGATAATGAAAAAAGACAACAACCGACAAATGTTGATCGAACTGAAGCAGATTTATTAATACATCATCACAAAATATTTTTAATAATCCAAGCAAGTATTGATGCTGAAAAATGTGCAAGTAAATTACATAAAATGAATTCATATGGTCGACGAGACGTATGTTTAATATACGTACAAGAAAAAAAACGAGTATTTTAATCTTCATCTAAATAGGATAAATTATGTGAAATGATTGTTGATATTTGTACAAAACAACATACATATGAAGATTTTTTTGGGTTAGTTGGAGAATATCTTTGTTTATTAGAAGAAGGTTACATTGATTCGTTCGGAGACATTTTTGCAACACAATATGTGTATGCTTATCGCTTGGAAAATGCTAAATTAAGGAATGTGACTAAGTTTTTTTGCACATTTACTTGTCACTAATTCCATTTCATGGGATGTATGTATTCATTCTTGATACTAAATAAAGATATTATACTTTTACTTTTCTTTTAGATATTTGACTCTATTATTTTAACTGAAAAAAATACAAGATCATCATAAAGTATTTATTTGAAAAATTTATTGTTGGAATTGTTTCATTTTCTTGGTTTTACCGAACTTAAAAATCGTTTAACTGATCCGTAAATCATTGGAAGATAAAACAATAAAAATCTATTTTCTTGTTTCTTTTATTCTAGAACAATAACAAAACTTTTGCAACATCATTGTCTACGTGATAATCCAGAAAATACTCGATTTTGTATCAAATTTTTCACCTCAACTGGTCTTGGTAGAATAACGTAACGTGCTCAATTTGATTTTATTTATCATTAAATATTTGTTTCTTGAATAGAGATAAATTACAAGCAGGGCTGGCCCGATAGGGGGTTGTAGAGGTTGTGACAACCGCCCCAATAATCGAAAATTTTTGTTTTTTCCCTGCGAAAATGAAATTTTTTTCTTGAGTACTCTTAGACAAAAGTTTTATTCGCATTACAAAAATCCGGAACAACCCCCCAATGTTTGCTGACTCGGGCCAGCCCTGATTACAAGAATTCATAAAAACCAACTACGGGTTCCATCTCCACGAAACTCAATGAATATTTATTCCCAAATCTTAATGCAATATGGTTTAAATTAAACAAGGATTTTTTTTCTTTTGATGATTATATCACTTCTTTTTATATTAGTTATCAGATAAGTCAAATAAAATAATTTGAAATTCGTTTCAAAAATTTCAATTTTATGTCATTCTCACGGTGCCGAAAACTTATATCATTCTATGAATCTATAAAAAAATGTTCATATACTTTTAGTCAACTGATGACCTAACACCAGGATGTGGGTGTGGGTGTGGGTGAGGTGTGAGTGGGGGGGTGTGGGGTATGGGTGTGGGTGAAGGTTGGTGTTGACATTTTTTCTCTCCATTGTCATAGCCACACACACCCATATCCATGCTCTCACACCCACACCCTCGTGATAGTTTTTCCCTGCGTTATTCTTTCTAAAAACGGATTTTTGTCTTTTTTTGTATGTTTTTATTTGAATAAATAGTACAGAATGATAACTAAAATGTGTTAATTATATCTACGTGCAAGCGATCGGAAGCGTTCTTGACCCGATGTCATATAACAATTTGCACTGAGTGTTGTAGCCGTTGAATAAGTGGCTCGTTCTTGTCCATGCTGCATATACATATTAGTCATGGTTGTTGCAAATTCATATTGACTTGTATACTGATATTCCAAATCGCGTATTAATTGTTGACATAGTGGATCTTGAGCTGACACAGATGCTCGAATTTTTGCTAATTGTGCATTCAATAATTCTCGAGCACGTTCGTAGTTTGGTTCATTCACTGCTTCTTTCAAAACACGACTTGTTTCTGCACGATTACGTTGTAAATCTAGTGCATAGTTTACAACAAGCAATGGCGAGTCAGGAGTCAGTTGAGCAGGACGTGCAAGTAGAAATGGTATCGTTGGTGTTTGAATTTGACGCCCATTAATTGCGTCAGTGTATTCGATTGATACACGACCTGTCAACAGAAGAATCGTAGTGTATTAGAAAGAAATAAGGCTTCTACTTGCCAATGATATCATTATTATTCGGTTGTTCAACAAGTGCAGGTACGTTTAATTGAAAGACAAGATTGCGACTTTCCTCACTATTGAGATCATTAAGTTTGAATGTGACTTGTGAAGATGGTAATTGGACAGGTTCATGTCTATAGATAGAATGCGAGCGTGTGACTGCATATAAACCATCGAACTCAAGTTTTACATTCAAGTTCTGCGCAACACATGTGAAGAGAGTACCAAGAGCAGTGGCAAAAGCAAGAGCGATTGAATCGACTCGATCAATAAAGGTAAAAGTTCCTCCGTGTCCCTGCTCTGCCAATTGAGATAGCAACGCTGCCCTATGTCCTAGTCCATAGCCGAATGTGTGACAAACGACACCATCAGGTAGAGTTCGCATTAGTTGAGAATAATCATGATGTTGATTATCTTCACCATCAGTGAGAAGAAGCATGGCTCCGAGTGGATTTTTCGTTCGACGATTAGTTAACATTCGAATACCCATTTCGAGACCAGAACCGATATAAGTGCCACCACTGGCATGAATATTCTGCGCAACTGCAGTGTGAAGAATTTGTTGTCTAAAAGAAGAAAATATTCATCAAAAGCTGAAGCAATAGAATACTCACTTTGCATGTGTCATCATATTAAGACCGTTGGATCGATCGTATGCTTTAGTATCAAAAGAAACAATCACTAATCGATCGAGTGGACCCATTTGATCGATAATATAATCCAAAGTCTTTTTCAGTAATGCAATTTTCTCTCCTTGCATTGATCCACTTTGATCAACAACACATATGAGATCGATTGGAACACGTAATTCATTAAGTTCCTTTTCGCTAGCTGTGATCGGAAGAAGGGAAGGTGCTTTGAGTGTCACCATTCCATATATATTGGAGGCTTGTGTTGATACTTGACCACCAAATTCTAACATAGTTGTAGCTGTGACCAATGCAAGTTCAGTTGTACCGTTAGCTGTCCTTTGACGAACAGCTTGGATACGAGCTGATAGAGCACGAACAGCTGCTTCATCAACCAAATCTTCAGATGAGTTCGAGTATGATAACTGTTCAAATTGGTTTACATGTGTGGATGATGCTTGTGGCTGAGAAGAATTCTTACTCACCCAACTATATGCATTGCTCAGCGATCTTCTCAATGTAGACCAAAATCCAGAAGCTGTAGATGATGGCGTGGCAGCAGCTTGTGTAGAAACCTGAACAGGTGCAGATGTACTTTGCACTGGTGTCTGAATAATACTGCTCAAAGAATCCAGTCGAGTTCGACAGAGTGGACATTCATGATTTTGTGCTTCAACACTTTTTACCAAGCAAACAAAATGAAATTGATGTTGACATGCAGTTTTAAACAGATCCATGCCTGGTTGTACTAATGCACCCAAACAAATCGAGCATACATCAGTGTCAGGATTGGAAGAATTTTTCGTTGTAGACATGATAATATTTTAAAGTCTTTAAGAAAATAAATGTGAAAGCAAGAGCAACGTCACCGTGATATAAAATATAAGGTAAGTGTAATTACACAATACTGACATAAATACAACGTGGCAAAGATGAATCATATATGCTTGTAAAGTAGAAATGTTTTACAGCAGCTAGATTTATTTATTTGATAAGTATATAAACAATACAATTAAAGTCGACGTTTCGGTATTTCACATATCATTTTCAAGACAAATTTACAATGACAATTTTTTAAGAAAACACGACAATATATACGAAGAAAAAGGAGTGATCTACCAATAGACAGATAAAAGCGCACCACTATTATTGAGTAGTATAATCGAATATGCGCATATTCGACTATCTCTTCCACCCCTCATGTGGTGTATTATCTTGTCCTTGTTTAATTTTAACACTTGGTTTTGATATTTAAAGACCTTCAGGGTATATTAATAGAGGAGCAGAGGAAGTCGTTCTGTTGAGGAAAGGTTTCTTTTGTAGAATATGTAGAGATTTGCGAACTAATAGGCGATATCTTCTAATATCTTTGGAGATGATTTCCCATCCTTTCCAATTAATCTTATGATTTGTTACAGTATGATGCTTATAAATGGCTGATTTATTTAATTGCTCGTCATTTTTTATCTGATGTTTCTCTTCTAAGATGCCATGTTGTGGAAAGTAATCAATTTTTGGTTTTCCTTTGTTTCGATCGGATCTTCTTAAATGTTGATCTGGTAGTGTATGGACATCCGTTTGAGAAGTAGGAGAGGATTTAATTTGTTGTGGTTCTCCATGTTCCTGATGTCTCTTCAGTGCTTGTCGAATAGCTTTTCCAATATAACTAACATCACATTCAGAACATGATATCATGTAAACAATATTAGATTGATAATCTTTCTGAATTTTATTTTTCTGTGGAAAAAACGTTTTTGTTGCACGGGGTGGGCGAGAAATTGGCTGTATGTGTAGACCAGGTCGAGTAGCATGAGCTAATTCTGCAAGTTTCTTCGCTAGAATTTTAGTTTCGTTACCAATATAAGGTAAGTCAATGAGGAGTTGCAGGCTTTTTAGACATGTATCGTCTAATTTTATCGGTTTAGATGTTCGGTTTTTAGTTGTACTAGATCTTTCTAAATATTTACTGAGTGTCTTTCTAATTCGACTTTAAATGACTCCTAATGGATAATCATTATTTAATGCTATGTTTGTGATGAATTCAAATTCGTCGTTCATTGATGAATAAGTAGAACAGATCCTAATCGCTCGGTAAATCATTGAATTAATGGCTGAAACTTTAAATGCATGAGGGTGTGAAGTGTGGGTGTGGGGTGTAGGTGTGGGGTGTGGGTGTCGGTGTGGGTGTGAGTGTGGGTGTGAGTGTGAGTGTCAGTGTGGGTGGGTGTGATGGGTGTGGAGTGTGGAGTGTGTGGGTGTGGATGGTGGGTGTGGGTATGGCTTTAGGTCTTGTCTTCACTGACACCCACACCCACCCCACGCCCACACCCACCCCACACCCACACCCATACCTCCACACCCACACAGCCACAGCCACACACCCACAACCACTCCCACACCTACACACCCACAGCCACAACACCCACGCCACACCCACATCCACACCCGCACCCCACACCCGCACCCCACACCCACACCCACGTCCACACACCCACACCCACACCCCCATACCCTCAGCCACAGCCACACCTAGAGGTGTTAGCCGATCATTTGATCGGCGGCGGAAAATTTTTAAGGCATCGGTGGCGGCGGCGGCGAGCTCTCGCCAAGGAGGTCATTTTCGGCGGCGGCGTCGACGACAAAATTTTTCCTATGTTATTTCACAGGATCTTTCGTAGATCCCTACCGTTAAGACAAACATTAGACGTTCTGTTCGCACAGAATTATAATGCTGTTTTCCTCTTAGCACGCTCATGTCTTTTTATGAAAAAATTTTTCCACTAGATGTAACTTTATTTTCATTAATTCAAAAAATTCACATTGTCCCATCATAAAATAACTTCAAACCACACAACAAGAACTCATGATATAAGCCGAAATGGCAATAATGTGACTATCCATCTAAAATACAAATTAAATTGAAGCATGATAGCTTATGGCTGGTACTTTATCTTTACTTTACCAAATAAAGTAAAGTATTAGAACTTTACTTTACCCGATCAAGTAAAGTTAAATACGTCACCCAAAAAGTAAAGTAAAGTAAAGTGAAAAAAAATGAAGTTGTATGTTTTAAAGTTTTTGGCAATTTCTTAGTTCAGGATTGCTTAGAAATAATCTTAGAACGTATCAAAGTTTATTCAATATCGTTTCGTATTAAAATTAGTGTGGAAATAAAATAAGTAAAGCCGAAAAATGTCAATTTTTTATGAATACATGAAAAATATTGTTTGGTTAACTTTATCTCACTTTATTATCCACATTCAAACTATAGTATTTTACTTTACTCTACTCTACTTTAGTTTACTTTTTCAAAGTAAAATAAAGATAATGTGCCATCCCTATGGTAGCTCGAATTAGATCATAAGTGAAACTAACATTGAAATTTGAATTTGAATCCAAGTTCAAATCGATACTTTTCTGTCCGTGGAGAAAAAGAGCAAGATTTGTTTTCATTGATTATTTGAATTCAAATTGAAACTAAATATTTTTCTTTTTTCTAAACTGGCAGAAAAGTGTCGATTGGAATTCGAATTCGAATCCCAATGTTAGTTACATTTATATTCGAACTCAAACTAGACAGTTAGTCGAAACTGCATACTGAATTAGTCAAAAATCGCGCAACGGAGAAAATAATAGCGATGAATCTATTGTGCATGAAGGAATAAGGCAAATGAAAACCTAATAAATATGGTAGCGTCACAAAATCACAAGGAGACATATTTGCTTATCAGCTCGGTTTTCAGAACATATGTCATCCAAGAAAAAATACACTAATTTCTATTTTTTAAAAGTTCTGTTGGTTTCAGCAATCTCTAATTGTCACATAGATCAAACTTGAGATATTACTGATTATTATCAACAAGTGATAATTTAGAAAAAGAGGAAGCTTGAACTGTGACCTTTCACTCGATCGGCGGCGGCGGCGGATGAAAATTTTATCGGCGACTAACACCTCTAGCCACACCCACCACACCCACAGCCACAGTCACACGCCCACACCTACGCCCACACCCATACCCACCCACACGCACACCCACACCACACCCACACCATACATCATTAAAATCTGTTTGAATAGGCATTTGTATAGATTCTTAAAGGTATCTATGTTCATGAAATTCTAAGTATGTCACTTTGTATCGAAAATTTTTCATTTCGAATCAATTTAATTCATATTTATTTCAATTTAGGAGAGTTTGAATCAGTTTCAAACAATCACAAATTTAAAGCTTTTGTGAACTGTAGAGATACTTCTGAATGCATCATGTACATTGAAGATAAAATATCTACTTAACCAAAAAAAAAGATAGATAAGCGAATCGTTTTTTACGTATTAATTGCGAACTGATGTCAAACACAATTTCATGAAAATGGCTCTGACATACAATGATACTTATTTAATCAATCCACCGTCTCTTACAACAAAATTGACGATTATTGTCTGACCACCAATCAATGCAAACATCGCCTATGCCGGCGTTATAACGAGGATTTTCTCGAATAAGACTTTGCAGTGTTTGTAAATCAATATAAACACATCGTTTCGCATCGTTATTATTGTAGGTAACACATATTTAATGGAATGTCTCGTCATAAATTGTGTTCCGATTAATAGGAATGTGAAAATTATCATATGAATTATACGTTCCAAAGACATTTATATATCGAAGGTTTTCAATAGCTAATCAGTAACGCACAAACGGTGAAGACGATATTTTCGCTATGGATAATATGTCTGATGCTATCACATCATACAATTAATAGAAGGATTAAAATTTGGTAGAGTTACCATTCTCTAACTCTGGAGTTTTTTGCCTCTCAAATAGAGATGTGGTAGTAATACAATGGTTTTTATAGTTTTATTGAAGACAAGTTGGAATATCGAATTATTTTGTTTGCTGACAACTGAATTATTTAGGAAATTTTTCATAAAAATAATGATGCGAGTATTAAAAATTCTAAAGTTTCAAGTGGTTAATGATACGATCTTTCTGAACGCTTGTCTCTTCCAATTATTGAATATCCTATTTTGTTTTCACATTTTAATTTGTCAATTTTATGTCAAAGCACAACTTATTTAATTTAATTTCAAGTATCAAATATGTATATGAAATAAAATTTAAAATACAAACTGAATTTAGTCAAGTCAAATAAACATTATATGGTGTAATTAAGTGTTTATATGTTTCTCGAATTATTAGAATCTCATCGAAGTATAAATCAAAAGAAATGATTTACTAGCTTAGGAATGACATATTGACATACCATAACTTTAACTATGCTATGCTGTACAAAACTATCAACAATCTTAATTTCTTCATTTGCTGTTAAAAGCCTTCTTCACCGAATTTGCGTCTTTGACAAATATTTTAATGAATCGATCTGTGCATTCGATATCGCTTGAAGTTTCACATTTGATTATTATAATTTTAGATGTACTTAATCTTTTTTTCACTTAAGATTATTATTTATAATTACATGCAGAGGTCGTACGTCACCGTACTACTCAACAATGCTAGAAGTTTTTTTTTTCCATCTATCTGTTTTTTTCTTCTATTCCTCTTTCCCAATCTTTCATACATAGAGTCAATAAACTTTGATAAATAAAAAACCAACATACTATACGTTGTACATGCTTAACGCAGACGCAATGATAGAGAAATACTTGCGTTACGCACGAGTACTCTCTCGAAACGAAGAGATGTATTATTTTCTCTGATACTTTGCATTAATTATCGACACACATTCTTTTTTTATGATAAATAATATTCAGGTATCTATCTATATAGTTTAGTTGGTGTTCATGTGTAACATTTGAATGATAACTTTCTAATGAGATTCATCAATTACAAGTAGTGAGTGTGACAACTTTTTAGCTTTCGTAGCAAAAATTTTACTATCTATTTTTCTTGTCTTTATCCAATTGAAATTAATTATTATCTTTATTTTTGATAGTTAACAAAATTTCCACTACTCAATGACTGTTGAGAAACCAATGAAATATAGAATTTTTATATTTCAAATAACGTCAAGAAAAATTCATAATAAATTCTAAAGTCATGACAAACTTAAAATAACTTACATCCACGTATCGTAATAGATGATGTAACATGAATTAAAATTAGGTCGACATGACTGTAAAATTAGTTATGGAATAGAATACATTTCGTAGTATATCTTTCTAGATAATAGACTAACAACATTTATTAGTCACTATGACAACAATAGATGCTCGAAATTTTTATGAAACAATTGAAGTCATATCGGTTAATGGAGTTCACAAGACGAAACAGAGAATTGATCATATGATCATAAAAACACTTTTAGCTGGTGTTTTTCTATCATTTGGTGGTTTACTTCTTTTGACTGTAGGTGCTGGTAGTACTCCAATTGTTCAGAATCTTGGTTCTAGTATACATAAAATGATACAAGGTTCTGTATTTCCTATTGGTTTTGTTCTGATTGTTATTACTGGTGCGGATTTATTTACTGGTAATACAATGGTATTAATGATATCAACATTACATAGAAAAACAACTTGGCTTGATCTTCTTATTTCATGGATAGTTTCATTTTTTGGAAATCTTGCAGGTTGTTTATTCTTTCAGTATATATTCGTTTATTATGCAGGTCTTCTTTCTAATGATCCATTTCGTTCATTTACTGTGCAATTAGCTGAAACAAAAGGTAATATCAAATGGCATGAAATATTTTTAAGAGGTATTGGTGGTAATTGGCTTGCATGTCTTGCATTATGGTTAGCTACAAGTTCACGTGAATTATATTCAAAAATAATTAGTATTTATTTACCTATTTCTTGTTTTATTACTGTTGGATATGAACATTCAATTGCAAATATGTTTACAGTTCAAATGGGTATGATACTTGGTGCTAATTTGTCAATTACTAAATATATTTTACATGTATTAATACCAGTTACACTCGGAAATATTATAGGTGGAGGAATTTTTGTTGGTTTTGTATATTTTTATCTTAATTTACTGAATAAGTTCAAAATTGATACTAAAACTAATGGTAGATCAGTGGCAAATGATGTTTATCAAACCGTAGAACAGCATGATGATTTAGATCTATCACAACAACCATAATGTAGTTTATTATTTAAGATTTTGAACAAAACTTGGCAAATTATTATTATTATTTTGTATGCCTATATATTTACTAATGAATTTCAAACTTTTTAAGCTTTTATTGTCATTTTCTTTTTATACAGTAAAGGAGATAGTAAACTAATGAAAATGATTTTCTTTTCAGTAAGACAAATTTAAATTTTTAATGGTTTATTATGATAAGACATACGTAATTCTATGATCGAATTTATTTATCGCTATGTACACTCCAATTTTATTTTGTTAATTAGCTGAAAGTTTATACATTTCAAATTAATAGTTGAGAAACTCTTCTTAATAGTAAAGATACTTTTCTTGATGAACAAATAGAATGATAATCTATCAGTTTATTTTCTATCAAAAAAAGAAAATTTTATTTCTATGATACCTTTATGGTTTTGTAACATTATCTGAAGACTCTATTTAGTTATGAGAAAATATAAGTGTCAAGAAACATACGTTTAAAAATTATTCGTGTTAAATGTAAGACATTTTTTTAAATATTATTTCTAAATAAGTAAACAGTTGTGCTGTGTCTTAATGTAAATTTCAAGCATAAAAATGAGCTAATTATTTTTCTATAAAATTTTATGTAATATTATGTTGAGATTAACTATGTTCATTGAATTTGATACCCTCAATACAGTACAAACTATTAACAAACGTTTAGAACATTCGATAATTTTCACAAGTTTATGTAGATACTCAATCAAATAAATGCATGTCGATATACATAATTTTGTTTTTTCAGAATTTGACATTATATTATTTATTTGTCGTATGTTCTCTTGCTATTCATTTATGTACGTAGTCGACACAAAAACATAAAATTGTTCTTTATTTCTAATGGTAAATATATCCTATGAAAATACATACTACTGTATACTTGATTTAAAAAGCAGAATGTATAATGCAAACATTGTAGATGAAGTTTAAAAATTATTTTTATTTTAGAATTTATCTCTTAAGCAATACTTAGATAGTGACCTATTTTGATTGTGTTCTATTATTTGTTGAATGTTATAATTGTCTTCTTACATAACTATCTACTTTCTTTTTTTGGATTTTTATGTCAATTTATCCTCCGTACTTATGTAACGACTGTAAAATACTAATTGAAAATGATAAGTTTTATTTTTAATATTACATTTTCATCAGACATATTGTTTTTAATATTTCGATTTTTCTATATTTCTTGTTAGATCTAAATAAAATCAAATTCTGAACTCTGTTTATAGTTAAGTACACGGAAAACAAAAAAATCATCGTAACACTTCAAACATTTTATTTTTTGCTTAGATAAACTTTTTCCTATTGCTGTGACCGAACGTTTTTTTAAAAATTTTATACCTTTTTTTCTTTCATACTGGATAAAAAAAAACGAAATATTTTAGATCATTAATTACCATATGCTTGTATATACGAAATGTATATTATATTGTCGAGAGTCAGATGAAATATGGTTGACGATAGATTGCTATTACGTGTTGTACAGACACGCACCATTAGACATAATTTAATCTTGATATAAAGTATGAGAGAAAGTTTCACGATGACTATTTAGCAGGAGGACTATTAACCTAGAGATACGAATCATATAATTGCTCTCGTGTTTTAGTTCTCAATTTTAGGTGAGTTCTAGTAGAAATCTCTTCGATTATTTAGTTGATGAGCTTTTCGAATAGATTTTCCTTTTGATGCGTCGATCTTATTAAGAACAATCACGTTTGTATCTCGCAAAACTTATTCATCAGTCTCTTTATGCTAATCTTCTTTCAATCTCACTTGTTCATTTATGTTTCTAACATATTCTTAAATTAAAAAATTTTTGCCCGGAAAAATATCGTTTTTTCATCCATCATTAAATCTATTCGTGGAAGATAAATGAAAAAAATCTTCTGATACAGTTTCACAAATTGAGTTTTATCTGGCTGGTAGCAAATAACTTTATGATGAATTCATTTATCTATTTATCTGTCGTGTGACATCTTACACTATGAGACTATTCTTCCAGCGAGAGATAAAATTTCTTACCAGCAAGATCTTATGGAATGACGCAAGTTATTAATGACCTTATAGAAATTTATTTAGTTACATCCTTCTTTGTGCCTATTACAGAATCTATGTTCTACAAAGAGTATTCAAATTTGAAAAGCTTTAAAACAGTATACTGACATGTGAAAGTATTCTTATTTAATCTTATAGTAAGAATGGCTCAATTTCAAATAAAGTTATACAATTTCCTTCCTCATTTACGTGTCTATCCCATGTAATCACGAAACGCAAGATCGATGCGTTGAAACGCGGTTTCACAACAAAACGCGTCTAGACGCAGTTAAAAACGGGTTCACAACGCATTCAAATGCATTTTTAATATGAAACGCGTTGAGACGCAGTTAGAAAACTTTTGAAACGCGTCTGAACGCAGTTTTTGTATGCAACGTGTTGAAACGCAATTGTAAAAAAAAACTGTGAACCGCGTCTCAACGCGTTTCATATTGAAATCACGTTTGTACGTGTTTAATAAGAGTTTGACTGAACGCGTTCAAACATGGTGTAATATGAGAAGCGTTGAGACGCAGTTAGAAAAAATTTTGAAACGCGTCTGGACGCAGGTTTTCTATACAAGGCGTTTAAACGCAATCAGAAAAAAATGAACCGCGTTTCGACACGTTTCTGAAAAAAATTTAATGCGTTTAAAAAATTTTGTTTACGAACTGCGTTCAAACGTGTCTTAAATATGTTTTTCGCTCGCGTTAGGACGCAATCATATGTTCGAGTGCCTTTGAAAGTGTTTATTTTTTGTGTATCGGACGCGATTTTACCCAAAAATTGCTGCTCTAGAAGAGTTAACTGCATAATCAAAATCATCAGCTTATATGTATTTTATTCATCTAAACTTCATTAGACTTCTAATAAAGAATGTTGAGATGACGTTAAAATAGACAAAATTCAATTAAACATACGGTGAACAGTCCATATTTCTCTAAAGTTTGTAAGAAAAATAGTTAGATAATATTGTAATAGTTTCCAGCTATGCAACGCCCTTTCAGAATATTGTTAAATACTACTATTTAAATAATATTATTAGTAACTTTTCATCATATATTTCTACTAACTTGGTTGTCAATAATTATCTATTCATTAAATTTTTCGATAAAATTATTTATCATATTACCAGTGCAATAAAAAAGATCGTAATATTTTTAATGTGTAGTAGATGATAAAAAAAAGATGTTATTTTATTAAAAAAA